AGTCACCTGCACACACAGATATCCCCCTAAAATAGCTAAAACTAAAAACAAACTAAAAACTACTTCCAAAAACATTCAGCTTTGATATTAATGAGTTTATGGGGTTCATTGAGAACATGGTTGTTGTTCAATAATAAAATTATTCCTCAAAAATACAACTTGCCTAATAATTCTGCACTCCCTGTAATGGCAGTAATGATTTCCAATTGTTGTAACTTGCCTCATTCTCCTCATACCATCAACCAAACAAACCAACCTGACACTCTAAATAAGCTACAAAATTTTCCTGCTCCCCCTTTGACATCACTGCAACCGCTTTCCTCCACCACCACAACCAGCCATCTGTAGGCTGCTGGAGGATATTTACTCTTACATAAAATAAATTTGTATGGAGTGACTATCCTGGTTTATGACCAAATTCCTGTCAAAGCAATAACCATACCATCAAGCTTGTACTGTGTTTTAAGTGCAAACTCTCAAACAATCGCACACTAACATGCATGCACACTTTGAATCAGTATTTCCAGGATACTGTTGAGGATTGTGATAGCTTAAAAAAGTGTTCTTAATGATTTTTGCATTCTGCCTTTGTTGGCCCAGTAAGGGCGAATTGGCATACAAAAATCAAAAGGAGAGAGGTGCACAAGGTCCCTGTTTGGACTCAAACTATGAATGTTAAACTCATGTGGCATGGGCTGGAGCCATTTGGCTACTTGGTGGGGGGCTTAAATAAACTGCTTTAGTGATCTGTGCAATGTAATTTCAGGGTAGAGGAGAGCAGGGATCTTCTGCTATTCTTCAGGACCTTAAGAACTTTTTCAGACAGATGTGATGACCGAAGCAGAACTTTCCAACAATTCCAAGTAAGTGAAAACACACATGCACCAAAATGGACGGTCCGGCAAACTCGCCCTCACAAACCTAACAAATTTAACCACCTGATCTGTACGTCGTGAGCTAAGAGTAGCTAATCAGACCCATACATATTGCCAGTAGGCATCCTCCTCTGCTTTTGAGCAGGCTAAGTAGGCCATTGTAGTCGGTAATAAATACAGAGAGATCATGTAGACATCTAGTGGTATTGTGAAGAAGTGCACATAGATTATCTAGTTAAAGAGCGGTTTGGTTAAATGTGAGAGAAATTTAATGGAGACATATGTCTTAAGGTTAAACTTGGTGAATGTACAAAGAATGGCTATGTGGATACCTAGGTGAATCGATATAGGTGGAAAAATGTTCCTGTTGATGATTCATCATTATGGGTCATCCTTTTTATTCTATGTGAGTTGTCTTTTTTTCTGTTATCTGATTTTCAGAGAATATTTTTTATAAAGTGAAAATAGTGAAAATACAACACCTCCAAAAAGTGACACTGCAGAGATAGACAATTGAAGAGGAATGAAAAGCGTAGAATACCATGGGTTAATGCTGTAGGTGTGAAGTGGTGCGAGCATGATAATATGAGATATTAGGGTGGGACTTTGTTGAAGAGGTAGCAATGAAATATCAAATAGTACATCAAGCTGCACAAGCAATGTGGAACCTATTCTCCTGTTTACTTGGAGAATGCAAAGTTCTGCCAAGTTGGCTGAGCTGAAGGAGGATTAACCCACATTTTCCATACTGGTCTATGTGTTCCAAACTCTTATTTTGCTTTACTTGCATTTTTTCAGGTCTTGTATGGAAAAACAAATTTCCCGCCATAACTGTTTTGCTGTTATGTATTCCATGCTTTTATGACACACACAGACAAAACATGTACTTGGAGGAATAAACATATAAAAATACAGAAGCAGAGGAGCTGACATACATCTCTGCACAAGAATCCTAAAGTTTTTTCTGGATAGCATTAACAAGGCAGTTTCTGTCGTACACAACAACAGGTATAATTAGCAACATACAATTTCAGTGCTAACTGGGTTTTCGGTATTGTGGATAGGTAGTTGGAAATTTCTCCACACATGCATAAACCAATACCCACATGCTGAGTTCAGCAATTTTTGTTTTGCTGTTTGTGTTTATTGTGCTAGTGGTTTGAAGTAAAAATCGACTTCTGTCTTTCCAGTACTTTATTATGACCAAGAACTTACTATCATTAGCTGGAGCATGCACACTTGTCTAATGTACAAGCTGTTACTTGCCTCGAACACAACATTGTTACTTACCCCTGGTGTTTTCTTCATCCACAGTTCTTTGTATTTGTAGTCAACTCGCTGTGAACACTGATTGACGTTGATGGTTGTGCCATCATTGCAGCTGTCACAAAAGGACTATTATCAGTATCTTCTACTATTCACTTTACTATTGTAATAAATGTGTAATGACACATAGTAGCTGTCAGCAGCTTGAAAACACCGTTAGAGTGGGCAAAATACATATTTAACATGGTTGTGAATTTTCTAAGTAAATATAGAAATATATTCCTTATGTATTCTTTTGACATGAAATTCTCACCAAAAAAATGAAACGTGTTTGTCCCTTTTAGCAGTGATATCAACAAGTAAAAACTCAAGTTCCAAACCAAAACCACTTTATATACGACACCTCTAAAACCCCTTACATAACATCATTCATGTTGTTGTAATATATAATTTATATATTGAAAACGATATTATTTTTCAAAATTAACTGGCATTTCTACAGTAAATTTCTAGTATAACTAACCACCTAAAGTGCTTTTAAGTGAAGCTTACTCTAATATTGATTTCAAACACATTATATTAAAAAAAGTTGAACTTTATTAGAATATCTTCAAACATAGCCATGTAACATATTCCTGTACACCACTATCTTATTCACATCAGTAATAATCTCTAAATTAATTTTAATTAATGGTAGGGAAGAGTTGGGAACAAACGTAAGACACTATAGAAGCAAGAGGAGTAACTTTCACATTACTATAATTCATAGATACATTGTTCCCCAGTTCATTTCTGCTGGAGTCTATAAATTAAGAAAACAAAGGTAAGTCACAAAATACTTAAGTCTAATGGAATAATGAAAAGTGCAATTAATCCACACAATAGCAGAACAAAACACACTTTTCACTTAGTTAACGTATTTACACAATATTCTTGTATTTCAAGAAATGTAGTTTTTAATCAGCAAAGAAAAAATATATATCTTAAAGCTACATACAGTTAACGTAAAGAGGAATGTTAACAATGATCACAGATTTGTGGCCAGTTAGGATATTGTTGTTGTTGTTGTTGTTGTTGTTGGGTTTTTTTTTTTTTTTTTTTTTTTGGACATGTGACAATGTTCTATTGAAGATATAGATCTACTTGATATAGATCAGCATGCAGATATCAAGTATTCCTTTTGTATAACTAAAATTACTTCAATCCTGCTTCTTCCCTCCTGTTGTCAGGACTCTAAAATGTCAAGTAATGACTTTCTTAAAGACAAGTAAAGATAGGAACAGCTCACTAGAAAACAGATGGATCGAAACAGGGTTGCATGAAGAGTCAGTTTGTGATAAATATGGATCTTCCCATACAGGAACGTGCCAGAGTCCTAGATTAAACATACAGACCAGACAGCATGAATTATGTCAGTTATCAGCACAAGAATGTTTCGATTTGGCTTTACTAAAAATGTCTAAATATACTTTTTGTACCACAATTTTCATTCAGCTGTGACAATTTAATTGTGAAGAAACTGAATGTGAAACTTTAAAAATAAAACATTATTATAATCACTAATGCATCAATTAAACTGCACTTCAGTCATATATTGAGTGCCCTTTACTCAGAGGTAAATCTGAAAAATCTGCCTTGGGTCCATTCATTTAGATCTATTGTTTTTGATGTAGTATTTTGTTGCTAATTTTAGGTAAAACTTCGAAATGTCAGATTTTGCGTTAAAAGTCAGTTGTTTAGATGAGCAAAAACAGCAAAAATGAAGATGCTTACAGTAAATAACTTGAAATATAAATACATTTTCTTACTGCTCACAATTAGATACAGTCTACTAACAATGTGAAGACATTGGGCTGCAAGAAAGCCTCTTCGTTTGTGACAGCAGGTGTTTCTGTTGTTTCAAGGTCACAAGTAGTTTTGTTTGTTTTGGGATTTTTTTTGTTGTTGTTAAGATTGGTTCATCCATGTAGTAAATCAGCAGGTCAAAATGAAACAACAACTTGGACTGTCAGTGTAGAACTGTTAAAACTGCTGCACTCATTTATAGGATTATAGTAGTTGTAGTAGCATTTTATTACCTGTGAAAAGGGTGCTTTAAGGCTACCAGGAAAGTCCTTGTGGGATTTAAGCCTTAGAAATTGCAACAATCTAACAAATACTGCCACTTCAATGGTTATGCGTGTGCAGGTGTAAAATGTTTCAGTGCACCAAGGGTAATACACCACATTACAGTTATTTTAAAGACATAAGGGATTAAGCCAAGTATACATGACAGCCGGCTTTGACTCTGTTATTTTGATTACAGGTAGAAACACTAATTTTAAATGTGGTTAGACAAACTGGTTGTTTGAAGCATATTGAGATTAATTACACTGATGAAATTTCCTTTACTGCCCACCAGTCAGTAAAAGGCCTTTAGGTGAGTTAATGTACACCTTCAGTCCAGTCAGAGGTTTGATTTTGACCTGATACATGCTGATTGTAGGTTTGCCGAAGTAAAAACGTTGACATCTGTGGGACCAGCTCCACAAATCCAAAATACCATGGTGTCTCCCAGCTCTTTGTTGTGGGAAAACTTCCATCAGCAACAAAGGGAGTATAGTTAAATTTCAGTCTCCTCAACGGTACTTTCCAACAGGCAGTACTTTCATACAGGTGAAGTTGTCGGGGTATTTTGACAGCACCACTGGGTTGCCATCAAGGCGGACCTCATTAAGACTTGGTCGTAGGTAATAGGTGTCATTGGACCTGCAGAAGGTGTCCACATTGACCTCAGTGATGTTGTTGTTCTGGAAGAAAATAAAATAATATTGGTAGAGTCTTTTTTTACACCTCACTTTTAATAAAAATTACAGGTTTTAAATTTAATCTAGAAAAGGGTTGTACCAACGGATATGGATCTTGGAGATCAACAATGGGTAGAGTGATTCCCAAAAGTAACTAATAAAGTCATGCTGTACTTTAATTTTGGCATTCTTACATATGACCAGTACTTGCAACAGAGATCAGTCTGGATGTGAATGTAGGGGTGACCACATTGATCTGTCATCATCTCAGAATGAGAGAAAACAGAAGGAGGGCATTCTAGTCTGACTTTAAATTTGTGTCTAATATAACTGGGGTTGCAGAGACTAGTTCATTCCAAAGCTTTTGAGTCACCGAGTGTGTGTGGATGAAAGGCAAATAAGCTCTTTTTACACATATTAAAAAACATAAAGGCTGATATTCATGTACTTAATGGTCACAAGTTATGACAGGCAACAAAGCTCTCCTGCTGAAATAGCACACATTCAGTCTTTTCATGATGGTAGACAGGGAATTAACTGTCTCTAAGCAAACCCATGCTCAGTTGTAGGCATGGACACAAACAGCTGCAGACGCCACAGACAGTCTTTCCTTTCATAGCTCTTTGAAATTTACACACATGCATAGCAAGTGCATTGTGTGCATCTTGGCAGATGTTCCTGAGTGGGCACGAAAAATTGGTTGGCATGCATCTGCATGGAGCCTCGTGCATACTAGCAAATGCTGGAACTGCACCATTCCTTTAATCCATTTGGCAGTAGTGCTGTTGCATTTGGGCCACACAGTATGCGTTTCTACTGTGGAACTCAGTACAGTAGGCCCCTATGGAGAAGTTTATCAAACCCTACTCTAGAACACAAGTTGTGTACCAATTTGATGATGTCACTGGTGACCAAAATCAATGTATTTTTATATACAATGTTAATAAAACATGGAAACCTGAAGATGTAAGATCCGAACACTCTCTGGGATGTATGGAACAGCCTCCAGCATGTTGTCGGACAGGTACAGGTTAACCAGCTTGGTGAGTTTCTGTTGGAAACAAAAAAAGATTTGGAGAAAGAAAGTTGGACTGCCAAGACACATCAACTTTAGTAGTTAGTTGTACTAACACTGTGTTGAATTGATGGTGTACTGTATATAAAGATAATACCTTGTCATAATTCTCTGGTAACATTTTGAGAAATTCAAGCATTGATATTCATCTCACCTGGAAAGTATAGTATCTTGGAGCATTTATACAATTAGGTGGTTAACAAGATTATTTACCCTTTCAGGAGCATGTAAAATATTTGCGATCACTGCTAAGGACAGTTGACATGGCTCATTGTCAGTTTGTATGTTTTAGTAAAACTTTTTAGATTTTTTATCTCCAAATCAGTCACCAGAGTTGGTTGTTTGTTGGTAGAGGTCATGATGTACCTTGAAAGCATTAGCCTTCACTCCTTTGGTTTTGAGTTTGTTGTAGTTGGCATTGAAAGATGTGAGTTTGGCAGGGAGTGCAGGAAGTTTGACCAGCTGATTCTCAGCCAGAGACAATTCCTCCAGGAGGGTTAGCTTGGAGAAGGCTCCATCTTCAATCTCGGAGATCAAATTCCCTGTCAAGTCGATCCTCTTTAAAGTCACTGTTGATAGGTGAGGGTTTAAAAAAAAAAAGAAACAAAGAAGTTGTGCTACTTTCATCAATTACAGAAAAGTGAACATGCAGTTGATACATATGACTAAAAGCTAAGTCATACAGTACAAATAATGACTTATCATGTCCCTTGGTTAGTATAGATAATAGTTGACTGTTTACAATGAAGAAGATATCTGTGCTGCAAAGGGCAAGATATGCAAACTCTGACTTACAAGGTTGAAATTTTTGCACTAGATTAATAATTTTTCCTACTGGTGGGTGATGGGATCTTTTAAATCTCCTCTCCCAGGACCCCCAAAATTTCAAATCCTACTCTTATCAACAAAATCTTCATCCTTTGTCTTAACCATTTGTCCAAGTATGGGCACTGGAGTATGTCTCAGGAGATGGCAAGAGGCAGGGTACACCCTGGGCAGTTGATCACAGGGGCAATACATAGAGACAGACTACCATAAATTTACACTAGGACTATTAGATTAACAGATGTTTACCCCATGGAGGTCAGACATTTAAATATCTGACTGTTGTGACACAAACAACGTAAAGAATTATTAAGAACAAGCAATTATAACTTAAGAAGTATGTCTTTGGCTTGTGGGGGAAACCAGAGCACTCAAATGAAACCCATACAAGCACAGAAAATACAGTGCCCCAGCACTTAACATAATATCCTGTTGTGAATCTGTGTCCAACAACTGACTACGTCCCATTAAAAAACAATTTTTTTTTATTTATTTATTTATTTATTTATTTTAAATTGCTGAATGTTAAGCAGAAACTTGAGTTTTGAACAGATGGATTAATCAACAAACTCTGGAGTAACCATGTTAAGACTTACCAATTTGAGCAAAGTCTTTGTTTTTGATCTTTCTTATTTTGTTGAAGCGTGCATACAGATAGGCTGTTTCTTTAGGTAGTGTGGGAATGGAGGTCATGTCTGGACTGACCTCCTCACAGTACACCGAGCCAGTCAGACACACACACAGCAGACAGGTGGGAAGGTCTGCAACACAAAGGCATCCATAAAAACCAAGGCGCCTTCAAAGTCCATATAGCCTTACTACATTTAAGCCATAAGTAATTGCTTTTTTTGCAACTAAGTGATCAATTTTAATGGTATTGTTTTTACCTAAGACAAAAAACGTCCAAACCTTTTCAGTTTCAGAACCCAAACAATTCTGTCAAACCATATATTTCTTACTTGTGTAGTCTATAATGTCTTAATTTCTTTTTTCTACTTTAACCAGTAACTCTGTTTATGAGGCAAGGTAGTAAATTCTTCCTTGCTGTGTTCAAAACACAGCACTGATCTATCTATCTATCTATCTATCTATCTATCTATCTATCTATCTATCTATCTATCTATCTA